ATTCTTTCCAATCCTAGTCTAGTGAATTTATTTTATTTAGAAATGCATGTTTATACATCTATGTTTTGAGTCAGACTTAGTTTACAGCATCATCGGAAAACACTGGCTAATATCCATGTAAAGTGTTAGGAACAAATAGCATGTTTTTTTTTGTACCCCGAGAATTCCAAGTTGAAATCTTGAGAACATCATCTCATTTTTTAAAAGCTTTTAAAAATAATGAAGGAACATTTTAAAAGCATCCAAACAGTGATCTTTTATTTTTACTTTCTTGAATTAATAATATTCACCCTTTATCATACCGTCCAAAAAAAATCATATTTTCAGTTTATTTGCATAGGAATTAAAAATTTTTTAGATTGCATTTTGCCAACTTCATCTTTTTTAATTTTGCATTGTAAAAAATGCATTTTAAAATCGCATTTTAAAATATGCATTTTTAAGTATGCAAATTGTTAAACTGCTCAATATTAATAAAATACTTACCCTTCCCCTGTTAATTTTTCAAAAAAATTTTGAAGATTTATTTTAACATTTCATTTTTAAAAAATCTTTTTTAAATGATTTATAAAAAGATATCAATAGAAGTTTGATGCAGTTTAGTTAAATCATTTGTGAACAGATGGCAGCACCAATTCAGAAATTTAAACTTTTTTATTTTTATTTTTACGCCTCTTTCAGTTAAATTGTTATTTATGCAGAACTATTTAAAATAATAATTTTTGAGACAATACTTCGCAGTAAAACTCTCAAGCAAATACCATATAATGTTGTTTCGCTTTCATATAAAAAAATAATTTTGGAAGAATAATGTCATTCAGTAATGCTTTTTTACTTATATTCTTTCCGTAGAAAAATTTATCCGTAGAAAATTTTAAATAAATAAATAAGTAATAAATAAATAATAAATATATAAATAAGTAATAAATAAATAAGCAATAAATAAATAAGTAATAAATAAATAAATAATAAGTAAAATAAAGTTTTTGTGCTGTCATCTATATGCTTTATTTAAATCTTATATACTTCATTTAAAGTGTTGGTAGACACTTTAAATGAAGTATATGAGATTTAAATCATTTTATTATTATTATTTATTTACTTGTTTATTAATTGTTTATTAGCTTCGTAATTCTAACCTGAAAACTGCGGCAACAACAGAAATTATAAAAATAAATGATTAAAAATCGAGACTGGGTAAAGCATCAAAAGATAAATCAAGAAAATCTCTTAACTGAACATGAAGAAAAGAATCTAATTTATTTCTTATTTCTCATCTTAATTAACAGTTACCATTTATAATTATTATAGTGTAAGAGCTTAGGACAACATAATGATAAGCCAAATATATTTGTTAAAATTTTCCAAAGGTGATATTTTTATATCAAACTGTCTCTTAGTATTGTTTCCATGTAAGTATTTACCTGTTTCCTTTAAATAGAAGCAATAAAAAAAACATTTAATTGCTTATTTTGTATTCGTTGCCTAATGCTTCCTTTTAAAGAGTTTTAAATGTGGCTCACAATTATATACTCCCTTTCTTCTATCTTAACATTTAAACATACCACAAAACTTAAAATATTGTACAGTGCGAAAAAAAAAGAAAATGAAAAACGCAACGTCAGGAACATTCAAATATGACCTCAAATGCGACCTTAAATATGCGGATTAATTACTGCAGGCGATATTTTAAGTCGATATTTTATCAGGCACAAAAATAAACTTTTTCGGAACAAAAATACTTTTTTTTACGAATTTAGAATCCTGACCCTCGTAATGTAGGGGTAAACTCAATGTTAAAAATATGGTCCCAATAGATTGGTCAGGAAAGCAATTGAATAATTGAACCCTTAATGTTAATTTTCCTTTTTGCGTATTTTGCTTTATCTCGAGAACTTTACAAATGAAACGAACATATTTCGCACATAATTATAAAAATCGTTTATCCAAAGATAATTCCGCGCAAAAAATAATTTTTAGTAAGTATTTATTGTTTTTGATTATTTCATTTAATAATCGTCTAATTTTAAGGTGTACAATTTTCTACATCATTTAAAAAAAAAAAAAATGTAATTTGACATGGAAAAATGCTAAATTAGAGCGAAATCAGTCGAATAGTTCCTGGAAAATCGAATTTAGAAAACATGACTTTTTTTTAAAACTTTTTTCTTACTTTCTATCGTAATGTTAATGCGGTACCATCTGTGTAAATACGGTATGATGAAACTCACTTTCTTTCTGTTAATATTTGAATAAAGTAAATAAAAAAAAATTTAAACAAATTAAACAAAACGACTTTTGAACAAATTAAACAAAGCGTATTTTTTTAACGTTTTCGAAGCAAAAAAAAAATTCTTTTAATAGTTAAATCCTTTTTATCAGACACCTTTATTAAAGTAATTATATAGAAACTTGAAGAAAACAAAATTCTCTTGTAAAATGCGAGTTCATTCCATGCAGCGAAATTGTGAAGCCTTAACCTCTATCTTTTCCCCCAGCAGTTTGTTGCAGGAATGCTCTATTTAAAATCTGAGTAACACTAAAAATAACACAGTTTTATGTTAGTTTTTAAAAGTTAATGTAACAATTTATAAAATACTTCCTCGTTTAATCCCTGATTGAGTGGCGATGTCAAGAAAAAGTTGGTTACTTAATTTTGCGTAAAGTGTTCCGTAATTACCAACCTTTATATAGTATATTTTTTGGAATCCTTGTCAAAAACTAAGTAAATAGATCCATATCGACAAAAATTATAATAGGTTCTTGAAATGAAAGGAAAAAAAAAAAAAAAAAAAACAAAAAAAAAAAAAAAAGACATTTTCTGTACACCTTGATGGAAGCATATTAAGTTTTAAAGCAGATGCATCCAAGCATAAAAATTGGCAAATC